TCAAAACAAAGCAAAGCAAAGCTTTATCAAAACGTTATAACATAGCTTTATTAAAAATACCACTCACATAGTTCTTCAAACGTCGAGGTTACAAGCAAGGCCAAGTCCTACAAACACAAGGCAAAGTCTATTGAATGCATTTCAAACAAGCTTTACATGAATGCAAATGATCCCTGGCATTCCTTCAAAACTAAGTCGAACCAAAACAAAACACTGTTCCTCATCTCGGGAAAACATAATGGGCACCAACCAGGTCCTGGCTGAGGTCCCACACCCCCTTGCCGAGGTGGGGTCCCAATGGCCACATTCGAGGAAATGAAGTCGGGAAAATCTGGGTTTCCCTTTCTTTGAAGAACATGAAGAACATGATCATGAAGAACATGAATGCAAGGAGCATAACTTGCTATTACAAAATCTGAGATTTCATGCTATAAATTAAAAAACATGGACCTGGGCACCCTTACTCGAAGATTTTATGAAAACAAACACAAAAACATGAATCTTAATGCAAACTTTCGGATCAAACAAGGCTTTTTCTTCAAGAACACATGAATACCACTTTCTCTTTCTAAAACCAAACTTTAAATCAATGCATGGCTTACAAATCACGCTCGATCATGCAATGCAGCTAGATGAACAATAAGAACAACAAGAGTAGATCAAGATTCTAACCTCAAGACACGAATCAAACGGCTCAAGGTGTGAAGATCAAGCTTGGAAATCTATTCCTCCTCTAGGAACTCCTCTCTCCTCAAGAACAAGATATGATACAAAAATGATGCATTTCTCTCTTTGCCGGCTGATTTAACACTCATCTCGGACACGTGGCAACGGTTGGTTGGTTCTTCTAGAAAAGGCGACTGAGTGAAAGGACAAGACTATGACAAAGTGTGTTCAACAAGCAAGATGGCATAGGCACTCCGGTAAGCAATGATCTCGGCTAAGGACAAGGCTTCGGCAAGTAAGGTCTCAATGATCTCGGCTAGGAAGGACAACACTTGACTTAGCTATGCCACACCTCGGCCTAGATGTGCCACACCTCGATCTAGGTCATACCAATCCAAGAACAAGATCACTAGGTGCAAGGATAAAATCCCGGCCTAGATGATAAACACCTCGGCCTTGGGGATAAACACCTCGGCCTAGGTAGTGACATCTCGGCCAATATGCCAAGGTGCGAGTGGAGGTTAACCAAAAGATTCCAAGATAGTCCTAGGTAGAAGAGATTCAAAGGTGCGACCCAGGCTTAGGATGACCTCAACTAAACTCACACCAAACAAGGAACAAAGTATGCAAGTAACACTTATGCAAGACAAATCAAGGTTTTGCAAATGCAACATATCAAGAAAAGATCATGTAATATATGAAAGCATGACTAGAGTAAAGTGAGGGTTGTTACACCTTTTTTGGTTCAATCTGAATTATATTATACGTAATGTCAATATTTACATCAGATTGTTAGATATTGATAATGACTACAAACCGATGGTAAGCCTTACATCAATTTGTACACATCTTGCACAACCATTATACACACCTAAATTTCAAATTCTAATAATGACAACTTTGCATTTTCAGGGTGGATTGCGGGCCCGTAGTGTGTTACATCATCAGGGCACATGTATACCGTGAGGAAATTGTTGACAGCCTTAATCGCTTTGAATGGTGTCAAATAAGAGACTCATTGTACACAGTTTTCTGAATCACACAAAGACAGTGCAATATGAAAACCTATAGGTGGGGGGTGTCCACTTGTAATTGTTATCCATAATTGTTATCCACATTTAAGACAATTTAGTATGAATAGTTTTGACATATTGAAGCAGACTAGCTTAAGTGTAAATCAATTCTGTATCAATGCTTGTACTCCAATTTTTCATTCAATATATGTATATGCATTTTGAGGCCTATTTCGTGTTGATCATTCACATGGATGTGAATAGTACTTAAAATATTATTGTAACACAATGTGACTGGTGTGAATATCATATTTCTTAACACATAAGTGAATATTCGCAGCAAATAATTTGATGATGTTAATAGTTACAGATGATGTGAATATTCACATCATATGTTTTTATGTTGTAAATGGTAACAAGCATGTCAACATTCACATCGCGCCCATGCATACATCATAATATACACAACAACATCCCGTTTTGCTATCAGAAAACGCTCACAATGACAATTCGTAATACAAATCTAAATATTCACATCAAATGATTTGGTAATGTGAATCGTTACAATGATATAAATATTCATGTTAACTACTTTGATGTTGTTAGTGGTAACAAGAATGTGAATATTCACATCAAATAGCATATTGCAGATGATGTGAATATTCACATCATATATTTTCATGTTGTAAATGGTAACAGACATGCCAATATTCACACCGCGCCCATGCATGCATCACAATATACACAACAACATCCCGTTTTGCTAGCAAAAAATACTCACAATGACAATTCATAATACAAATCTGAATATTCACATAAATGATTTGGTAATGTGTTGGTAATGTGAATTGTTATAGTGATATAAATATTCATGTTAACTACTTTGATACTATCGATGGTAACAAGAATGTGAATATTCACATCACACACATGCATGCCTCACAATATACATGACCAGGAAAAACCCATATCCCCATATAACCAACCAAAATTTAATTTAGATAATGATGTTGAAAGCAAGAAATAGATCATACAATCATTCATATACATTCACATTCTTAATGCGATGTGAATATTCACCACATTCAAAAAAACAGAGCCATAACTCAACTACATAACCAGCCAAAATCCATAACCCCATACAACCAAAAAAAACTTGCATGTCCATTAATTCTAGAAAATGAAATTGGAAGCAAAAAACAGAGCATATAACCCTTCATATAAATCCAATCACAAATGACATGCATCCATTAGATACTAACCTTAAGACAATGTAATCAAATAGAGCACAGTATTCGTCTTCTCCAAATTCAAAAATCTCAATCTCTCAAAAAATAAAAAAACCGTCACACAAATCCTCCTCTGTATCTTCATAATTTTCGTCTCCATCTTCATCATTATCACTATTATTAACACCTTCGACAATTCCACCATTACAGCAATCCAAATCAAACCAAACACTCCTCATCTCTTTATAAAAAAAGCTACATTACTGTATCAGAAACCTCATTCTTTACAATTCTAACACTCATTTCTTAAGCTTCCAAACAATATGAAATGTGAACATTCACATTGATTGATAGAAAAACCAAAAATAATGGCAGCAATAGAACTATATGTCCAAAAAAAAAGAAAAACTCAATCTCCCTGAAAACAAAAAATTATCACCCACATATTCAGCTTCATCATATCACTATCATTAACAACCCGTGTAATTTTACCATTCCACCAATCCAAATCAAATTAAACCCACCTTCGAAGAGCAAGTATTCAAATCCATCTCATCTTTCCCTTTGATTCAATCCAGTTAAATGTGGGTTTTAGTCAATCTACTGAACAAGTTTGTAAGCCATTACCCCTGTTTCTTTGATTCAAATCCTTTTCTTTTCCTTTGATTTCTGGCTGAAATCATAACTATGGCAAAAAGGGAAAAAAAAAAAAAAATAAACTTTGAATCGTCATCTTCTCTTCTACAGGAATAAAACCGTATCGCAATGAAACACTACCGCGAACTATGTGCCGTCGTCTTCTCTCTTATAGGAACGAAATCCTACCACAACAAAAATAGAGGGAAACATGTATATTATTTTGTATATAATATATATCAACATATAGAAAAAAGGGTATAATAGTCCAATAAAAAATATAAATCAGGAAAAAAGGACCTTATGGAATAAAAGTATAAACACATGGGACTAACTAGGTTATAATTTTTCTTTGTGGACTTATTGGGATAGAACATCTCTAGATGGGATTTATCAATAAAAAACCCATTAAAGTATTAAATTGGGAATACAAATCTTTTGGACTCATATTCCAACATTTAATTGTAAATTTTTCCTATTCCAATTAGATATCTAATGGATAGCTAATCCCACAAAAATGTGTATATGTTCAGTATTGGTCATCAAATGGGACCTGCGGTGGACCATGGGCCTGAATTGAAATTTATTTGTACTTTTTTATATGAATCACCGAATTGAAACATTAAAACATGATTTGCAGTGGACCCGTGGTCCAACCCTTACATTTATTGAGTACTTGAGGAATTATTGTTTTACATCATGTCACAAAGTAATTAATTAATAAAAAAATTAAAATTTTCTACAATATTAAAAGTGAACGGTCAGGGTTGGCATATTATTCAAAAGATTCAATGTCATCGATCTCTATAGTCAAGTACCTATATCGTGGAATGAAATGAGAAGTCACAGGTTCCATGAACTAATGGTTTTATGGGACATTTTTTTATAGGTTCATTATGTAAAAGTTTAATTGATTATGTTTTAAAAAAAAAAAAAAAATTTAAAGTGGACTAATGGTTTTATGGGACATTTTTTTATAGGTTCATTATGTAAAAGTTTAATAGCTTAAGTTTTACAAAAATAAATAAGTAAATGTAACATATTAAGTTTTACTTATCATTCCTTGAATGAAATACTAGTATCTTGTTAAAACGTGATGTGTATGAACAAGTTGAATGAAATACCAGGCAGATAATTTTTATTTTGTTTTAAAATTTTATTTCTATGAATTTCGTTTTACACAGCCATTTTTCATATATCTAGATTTTTGGATCCTATTCAATGAAATTTATCAAACAACATTCATATTAATATAAAATTTTGAAAAAAAAAATGAAAAATTCTCAATTACATAAATTCACACAGTTCATATACAAAAAAATTATGAAATTTTACTTTCTCTACAAAAAGTGTGAAATTTCCACAGTTTTTTTGCAAAAACAATGAAAATTTTGCAATATTTCACTAATAATTTAATAAAATTTTGCAGTTTTATAGAAACAACAAAATATATATATCAGAAAAACCCATGTCCATAGCCAAGTGTATATCCATGTGGAGTCATGGACAGACCTAGCCCAGAAACCTTAACATCACGAGGACCACCTCCAACATGCTCTCCCATGGAACTTGACCCAGCTGCAAAAAACCTCGAAAGGTTTGATTCCTCCATCTGAATCTTCTCGCCTTGCTTCACAACATTCTTCTTTAGATCCTCCATTGCCACATTCAATTGCTCGAGTTGTTGAAGTCCAAGCTCACTAACCAGTGCTTCCCACCAACACTTGTCTCGGCTATCTTTCCTCATCTTGTTAAGCTCTTCGCCTTTTTTCTTCTCCGCTTCCAACGCATCAAGTGCGTCAGTAAGTTGCAAGTTGAGCCCACGAACATGCGCGTTACGGTGAGCCTCGACAGGTTGGAGTGAGCCTGAATTGGGTTGAGGGTTTCGAGAGAGAAAGCTATCTATAACGGTGTAAACACAAGGACTTAATAATACAAACAGCTAATACAAACAGATGGTGCTTTAATTTTAGAAGTCCCTTATTTGGTTGGGAAGAAGATGAGGTGTTGTAACGCCCTCAAAATAAATGCGTAAATCTATCAATCATAATACTCATAGACATGGGAGAATAAAACATATTCATTCATTAGAGTGTTCTTTACAAAAGTATTACATGTTGACAACGAAAGTAAATGCCCTACGGGCTTACAACTTTCCAAGTCAACACTTGGTTACAACAAAAGAGGGTCAGAAGCCCGTTACAAAATAAAGCCCTCGGCTTGGAAATAAAAAAAAAACATATAAACATAAAACAAAACAACCAAAACAGAGACTTCAGCCCCGAGACCTCCCAAGCTAAGACCTTGGAGGCGGCATATCACCTGTACCTGAAAATGGTGTCCCATATAGGGTGAGCCCAAGCCCAATAGAGATATGCTAAACATAATATGAGAATTAACTAAAACATTAGCATTTGACAAATGGTTAACACTTATAAAACAACGTACATCTTTTCCAAGACCAATCAACACTTACAACCATATTTCAGTTCATTTCCATTTATTTATCCCATTCAATTCATAATGAGACTACAACTCATAATATTATTAATGCTTCAATCATTAACGTCATTCAAACGTAATAAGGGTTTTCGGGACTTTCACCTTGGACACTTCAGCCAACTTAATTATCAATGGAGTCCATCCCCTATCTGCTCCCAAACAATGGAGTACATCCTCTATCTCCTCTCAAACCGTGGAGTACATCCCCTATCTCCTCCCAAACCATGGAGTATATCCCCTTTCTTCTCCCAAACAAAATACATATGCAATGTATTTAAACACTTTGTCATATACAATGATCAATTAAAGCACATATTCAATGCGTAAATCCAACCGTCATATTCAATGACATAACTCAATTGATTAGTTTCTGTTTGCCTAATCATCATATAGTTCTACAACAATCAAGACTATCCTCCACTGATAGCCCAAAATAGTTATTTCTAAACAGATAAATAAATGTATTTAACAGATGTTTTCATCATATTTTCCACAAGTGAATGATTTATAAATTCAACTACACCATTTAATCACATGTTCCTTCAATTCTAAAATTTCCAAACCAATCTCGTTATTTATACAAAATAACTTATTTAATCAAATTAGGGCAAATCTCTCCCTTCATCAAATATTATGCCAAAGACCAAATTTCATCAATTCTTTTCAAGTCATAGCATGTTCAAGACCTCTCATGCCCATAAGGTACTCAAATAGAAGACCCCACTTTTATATACATAAGAACTAACCAAAAATTTACCAAAAACCTTCTCAAGTCCTACCATCTATACAAGATGACAATATCTATGTTAAAACCCATATATGAGAGTAGAATATTCCTACCTCAAGTTTAGAAGGGGAAGAAGGAAGAAAAATCCAAAAGTCAACAGAGGAGAAACCAAGCATTGCTCCGATCAAAATGAAGCCCTTGACAAGCTCTACACTTTATCTCAAAGGAGCAAAGTGAGTAGAGGTCTTCAAGCAAGTAGATCTAAGAATCTATGAGTGAAAAATGCATTTTTAGAGAGAGAGAAAGTGTTTCACGGTTTAGAGGGAGGAAAGGGAAGAAAAGTGAAAGAAAAGGTCAAGTGAGGGCCTTTATATAGTACTAGGTCAAAAATAGATATAAGCCCCAAAGTCACCCTTGTGGCCAACTAAAAGAGAAGGTGTCGACACCACCAAGACTGGTGTCGACCCCAGAACATGATTTTCAAGTTTCCAAACAACTTTTCAACGCAAACAAGCGTGAACGAGCAATCCTAACAAGTTTAAAACAATTTGTACACCTCCAAAATTAAGGTACAACAACACCAAAGATTCCCAAAATAAAATAAAGGGTTCAAATACATTTACCAAAAGCTTTAAAGGACTCAAGTGCTACAGGTGTTAAGGATGCAAAATCTGTTAGGAGCAGGGCCTTGCATTCACCTGGATCAAAAGGACTCAATAAGATGGAAAGCTGAGCAGTCAGGGTTATTTATAGTTGGTGGTGTGTACAACTGGTATAAGCAAAGTGTTGTTCCTATTCTCAGCTCATCAGATCTGGTTTGGCATAACTTTGCTCGTCCTAAGGCTAAATTTATCACTTAGCTTGCTTGGAAAGATAGGCTTAAAACATCTGCCTTTCTTAGTAGTATTGGAGTGTTGTCTGGTTCTGGGATGCTGCCTTGTGTGCTGTGCAAAGCAGAGGAGGAATCTTATAACCATCTTCTTCTGTCTTGTCCTTTTGTGTGGCTTGTTTGGTCTAATATTATGGATTGGTGGGGAATGCAATGGGTGATACCAGGATCTTTTGAAGAGTAGATGCAATGGTGGCTGGGTGGAAAGGTCAGGAAAAAGCAAAAGCTAGTTTGGAGAGTGGTTTTCATTTCTTGTGTTTGGTCCTTGTGGTCATACAGAAATGATTGCATATTCAACAATACTCAACCTGCTGTTGTAGACTTGTGTGAGCAAATAGAAATTAGAGTGGCCATGTGGTTGAAGTCCTATGATATAGGGTGCTTCTACTCCATTCTTGAGATAGGTTCAAATATAAAATGGGTGAGTCAAAACCTATAAGGATAGGCTGAAGATTGATTTCTCTTCTTGGCTGGTTGGGGTGGATCTGGCTTTCCTGCTCTGGTTTGTTTTGCTTCTTAGCTTGGAGTGTAGGTGTGCTGTGTGGCAATTTTTGGTCTGCTTATTGGTGTAGATGGGTAATGCCTACCTTATGGTGGATTTTGCTGCTATATATTTGGTTTGATGTCTGGATCTGCTCTGCTCTTGTCAACTAGTTTTGATTTTATTATTTTGAGTTAGTTGAAGATTATGCCAGCATATCTTGGGAGCTCATATTTGTTGATGTTATGCTGTGGAGATTATGCTAGCATAATGAGCATAAGGACTTCAAAGTGAGGTTGATTCTGGGCTGAAATGGTGGTGCTGTCTGTGTTTATGGCCTATCTACTACTATGCTGAGGCTTAAATTAGGGAGTGAGGCATTACTGATCCTAATGATGATTGAGTTTATGGCTGCATAGGTCTGTTATGCCCAACTGGCTGCTATGTTACTGCTTTGTTGTTACAATATGCTGATTGGACAGATCTGTTGTGTTGCACTAATTGGATCTGGAGGGTGGCTGAATGGTGGCTTTGGTGAATTGGCTGCTGGTGACTTTGGGTCTGCCTCTTACCTATTCAGTTATGTTCAAGCTGTTCCTGGTTTGTTCTGTTGGTCTATGATGTTTTCTGTTGGTCTATGCTTAGGTTTGAGATACAGGATTGTGTCTAATATGCATCAACTGGATGAGGGCAAGCAGCAATGTGGATCAAGGCTTCTTCAATGGCTGTGGTTTCTATGTTAATGACCTTGTGTCTAATATGCATCAAGTGTAATGCTGCAGTAGGAATGGTCCTGAGGTCTAATGCATCTTGTTGAGTGATGTCTAATGTTGGTGATCTAATGCATTTTGGTATCTGCTGCCCCACTGATCTGCTGGTGATCTGCTACCGATCTGCTGTTGTTGCTATGTTGGGATATCCTTTTACTGATGTCCTGCTATGCTGAACTGCCAATACGCTGTGCTGGTGGTCTGCTCAGCAAAGCTATGCTACTGCCCTACTCTAATGCCCTGCTCAGCAAACCTTCTGGTTGATCTGTTGTGTGTATTATATTAGTATTGGAGCTCTTGTGTGTGCTTGGCTGTGTGTCCTATGTTTTGGTTGTTTTTTGCGGTTGGTTACTCATCAACTCTTGATGGTGTGCTAGCAGATAATAGGGTAAACTTATCGGTGCCAACCTAGTTGGGATTGGTTTGTTTTCGCTTTGATGCTTTTGCACTCATTGATTCCTTTTTTGTTGTAATTCTCTTTGGTTCATCAATAAAATTTTCTTTCGCTGATAAAAAAAAAAACGGTGTAAACACAAGGGTGGCCAAAAGAGAAGGCCTTTTTGCCTAGAGAAAAGACGATGATGGCAATTTCCACGCCACAAAGGGTGCAAAGTTTGCTTGCCTTCTTGAATAGCCCAGAACGACGCTTTGAAAAGGTAACAAGTCGGTTGCTTTCTTTTGACATTCTTGTCATCTCGATCTTCTGGCGACCTTTGCTCTTTCTCGCCATGGTTGCAATCGATGACACAAACACACAAAAAATTATTAGAGAAATAAGGAATTGAAATGGTGATTATCTAATGTGAGAAACATAGGGGTACGAGTATATATAGGGTGTGTCTCCATATATATATATAGCTTCAATTTACTCTCAAACTTGAAAATTTGCTTCCTTTTAGGTTTTAATTCTATATTTTGCATGTCATTTAATTTAATTACATATTTTGGGGCAAGTTAATGTCACAAAATTTCTATATCCTTCTTTTTTCGCACGTTGACAGCTACCAATGTGATAACAAAAATGAATGTTGGAATTTAAAAGCATATTAGAACAGAAAGATAGAGAAAGCATGTAATTTTGTTCTCTCTCAAAATTAGATGGTATTTGGAGCCTCAATAGAGTGTAGTGTATTCTAAGCTAAATGGTGTCATAGATTATTAAATTATTCTCTCTTTTTTTCCCCTTGAAATGTAATCAATCATAATACTTGAATATTTATCCATAGTCCAGCTGTGTAATTTTCACTATTGTAATATAAATTTATTTACAAATTAATAATATTGTTACGAGATACATTTGTTATGCCCAATATGTACTCGTATTTATGGTCATAAATTGCCAAATAGAATGTGATACAAAAGATAGTCAAATAATAGGAGGAAACAAATCAAACAATGTCAAGTCCATAAACATTATTTCCTCTTCATTTTCCTTGAGCTTTCTTATTGGACAAAAGAAAATTAAGAGAAGAAAACTACACGCACACAGACACACAAAAATGCATAAATTTATGAAGGTTTCATTACTATATATTATCATATTAACTATTATTTTTCATCGCATTTTAAACGTGCTTTTGTAATTGGATCCTCTGTAATTTTGAGCTATTCAATAGCAAATAACTCAATTGCATATGAAAGTGACAAAGAGACAAAATACAAGAGAACAGACTCAGGTAAGCAATAAGAAGGTGTTTCTAAAGTATAATAACTAAGTTTGAGTGACATAGAGAGACAAGTCTAACAAGCTAATTGTCTAAGGCCTTCTATATTTAAGAAGGCCTCTAAATTTTAGAACTCTTAATTATATGTATACATGAGACCCATCATATTTTTATAAAAAAATAAAATTTATGGAACCCGTCATGTTACGCCCTACTTTTTATTACTCGAAGTCATTACCAAATTCTTTAACTTAATTCAAATTCAGAGATAACATGCAGAAATAAACCCTTGAGTCCCATGAGTAGAAATAAATAACAATTCTCTCATCCGAATGCAAATTAAATACAACGTGAGCATACTGAATAAAATGCCCGAAGGCTTACATCAGTAAAGAATCAAAACAAGGGTGTAGCCCTTTTACATATATGGCATTCCGCCAACACAAAAGAGGCCCCGTGGCCAACAAGTAAGAAGATCCACATCTTGTAACACATCCTGCTCAACAACGTAGGATGAACATATAGTCCAGTAGGGATCTCTACATGATCCTCAACAATAACAACTTACAGATAGCTATGATCATGAATGCTCAATCTCGTACTAAAATAATAATGTGGCAGTTTATATAAAAGTATACATAAGTATAAACTTTTCTCAAAATAGTCTATCCAATCAGCGCTATAAGCGATTCATCTTTCAATTCATTCCATTAACCCTTGTTCCCAACCTTTCGCAACAATAACAACTTCTTAGGAAATCAATTTCTCTAAGCCTATTATCTTTCTCCCATTTTCCATGCTTACAACAGATTTTCCCTTTTCAAAATATACTTTCAAATACACGATTTTCCTTTACACTTTCCCAAAATCTCACAATGGCATTTTGGTTTGTTTCCAACACATTCATATCTATACATGCATGCCTTTAATAGAAAGGAGATAACAAATCATCAACATGTATATAATTAACAAATGAGGCAACTCGGCCCTCCAAAACTGCAACCATCACAATCCATGATATACTCAGACAGGCTGAGACAATAATAATAAAGCTCTACTCTACCAGTTAAGTCAGTTCTCCAGGTGCTAGCTTGAAGGTGGCGGTACCTTTGATTATAAGCGCAGTCAGTTCTCCAGGCGCTAACTGGAAGGTGGCGGTACCTTTGATTATAAGCGCAGTGTATAACACTAATAATTTTAATACAGCAGAGCATAACCAATAGGTGTAATACATACACATGAACTATCAAG